GAACAGCAAGAACGGTCTCTACACCCTCATGACTGCAGACTGCCTCTTTCCTAGCCCTTGTTTGCTGTGCACCGACATCACTTGGCTACTGTCTCTTATTTCTACCTGGGCAAGGCCCACTTCCCTTCAAGACTGGGAAAGCACCTCACCAAGCCCCTCCTGCCAAACACCAGGGAAGCAAAAACTCAGGAAAGTCCCCAGATGGAAGCACAAACCACACAGCCACTGCAGAGCACCCGTAATTTGCACAATGCAAACGTGACATAAGATCTGAGAAACCAGTCTCCCCTGCTCTTCTAAGGGTTTTCACAAACGAAAATGCCCTGTTTCCTCCAGCCCAATCCCTACTGCTCTTTGTCCTTTCCTGGCCCCTGGCAAGGTGCAATACATCACAGGATTGAGGGAAAATCAAGAGCTTTGCTCAGGATGGGGCTGTGGCTGCAGTCCTTGGTAGCTAACTGTGCACTAGGGCTATCGTGGACATAGCTTCTCTCCACCCAAAAAGCTAAGATGAGGGCTGGAGGGAGGGCACAGCTGCATCTCCAGCTCATTGGGAGCTACAGCAGATCACTGTCCTTTGCCTGAGGGCTACCATGGTCACCTGGGTCAGGAGAAGTTTTGAGAGCCAAGCTCCAACCAAGATGAAATGTCACTGCAATTCTCCTCCCTGCAAAAAGCTGTCTTGACGGCCGGAGTCATGAAAATTGAAGATATCCTGAAGATGAGAAGAAATACTTATTACTTCATGCTGAACCAAGGTAGAAGTGCAAGAATTGCTGAGTCGTCCAGAGCCTGGATGGACCCTCCAGGGCCAGGATGGAAAGGGCTCCCCAGTTAGCTGCAGCCGCTGGGACGTGCAAGGGACACCAAGTGCAGGGGACAGCAGTCCAGCCAGACCAGGAATCGTAGAATCAAGTAGAATCAATAAGATCATAGAGTCCAACTGTTAACCTACCACTGCCAAGTCCACCACTAAACCATGTCCCTAAACACCACATCTACACATCTTTTAAATACCTCCAGGGATGGTGACTCAACCACTTCCCTGGGCAGCCTGTTCCAGTGCTTGACAACCCTTTCCATGAAGGAATTTTTCCTAATATCCAATCTAAACCTCCCCTGGTGCAACTCAAGACCATTTCCTCTTGTCCTATCACTTGTTACTTGGGAAAAAAGACCGACACCCACCTGGCTACAGCCTCCTTTCAGGTAGTTGTAGACAGCAATAAGGTCTCCCCTCAGCCTCCTTTTCTCCAGGCTAAACAACCACAATTCCCTCACCTTCATTCAGATGAGGATCTGAGGGAAGAGGCTCAAGAATGACACATTTCTCTTTGGGAAAAAGAAACTTGGCAGAAAAGCAAGGGAAGTGGCTTGTTTGGTGCACACAGCGATGGACACAACCTCTCTGCTGGGAGAGTGGACAAGCAGTGGGGGGATTGTGGCAAGCAGGTAACTCTTAACAACCTGTTTGGGTTGTTTGCCATTTGTTTTATCTTTCTTCAAATTTTGTCCAGGACAAGTTTTCACCTATCATTTCCTTCTTTTTTTTTTTTTTTTTTTCCTTTTGCCACTGCTGAAGGAAGAAGGGAGGGAAGGCTGAAAGGAAAGGAATAGGAAAATTTGGAAGGAAAGAAACAGAGAATGAAGAAAGGAGGAGGAAAATACAGACCTTTTGGCTTGATTTCTTCTTTTACAAACTATTTTCCTGGCTTTCTCTTCTGGAGAGAGGGGTGAAAATGGCCTTTTTAATGAAAAAGCCCTGAAAACCCAGAAGTGGTAATTAGGTGATTAATGGATGTCTGACCTTTCTTTTATATTCAGTGTTTTTCCTCCAACCAGGAGGAGCAGCACAGTATGGCCACCTCATAACTTCCCTTGAACTTCAGCTTCAAATGCATCATATCTTGGCATGTTATCAACAATTTCAGGGGAAAAAGTCTATCCCTCCACTCCATACCATCCCTTCGATATTGTATTTACACCCTTTTGGTGTGCAGGAAGGGAGCAGTTTCCCATCAGACTCACAGGCCTCCAGAAATGCCCGTTTCCAGGGGCTGATGGAGACCTGTCAGATCTGTCATACGCACGCAGCAATGACTGAGATGTTTGCATAAGTTTGGCAAACCTTTACTTGGTCTCTAACTATGCCTGCATGCTGGGGGGGGTCTCATAGGAAAAGACAGATGTTGGTGGCATTTTCCCCTGTTCCCCCAGCTGGGTGTACCTGCGTCACTGAGCTTTCCCTTAAACTTCCTGAGACTCTGCCAATCCCATCCAAAGCATCGGGATTAATTTCCTCATCCTAGGAATTTTGTAATTGCTTTCAATGGGGACAGCAGTACCTCCTTTGACTTTATTAAAATATGCTGCTTCCTGGCAGAGGTGGGATGCTACTATCAGATTATACATAAGCAACAGAGGAACTCGTTCATGCAGTATTTATTTTCAATAACACAGCTCCACGTTCATGCTCAAACCTGAAAAGTGATTTATTTCTCTAGGATTTTTGCAGTGTTATCCAACTACCTCAGAAAAAGGAGTGAACACATTCCACGACTTCCCCGGCAGTACGACACTACCTTACACCTAAAAGGCATGGCAGCAGGAGCAAAGGGGTTAAATGCCCTAGAAAGGGTCATACAAGAAACCCACGCTAATGCCTAAGACTGAATCTGAATGGCAAGTCCCAGTCCTTTAACTTTCCTGTCTCTTGCTTGAAGAAGAGAAGGCAGGTTTCCTTCTCATACCAATACCACCATTTTGACGGTGGGTACTGCCAAGGCAGTTGCAGCCTGTGCCTAAAATCAAACCTCTCGTGCACAGCCCTGCCGCAGCTCCGAGCATGGGGAGGCAGCCGCAGAGCAAGCATCCGGCGCACACCCGGTGCACACCCGGCACCCTCCCAAGACTGGTGGTTCCCCCAGCTGATCGGGCTGTGCCACCCTGGCACTGCTGCTCCTTGGTGGCAGCTGCATGTAGAGACCCGCTGCAGGGAGCTGCCCCCCCCACCAAATCGTGAGCAGCACCGCTGGGAGGGAGAGGAAAAAACCACCAAAATACTTACCACGAGGCCTGACTGCAAGCCTGTGGATGTTAAGCACTTCCTACGACTACTGCTGCAATGTAACATTCAGCTCTTTACAAAAATAAAAATAAAAATAAAATAAATGGCATTTTATGTGGTATTGCAGTCCTTTGCAGGGAACAAGAATGAGGTTTGCCAGCTATCTCTACCTTTTACAGTAAATCATCTCCAATCAAATGATAATGTCCCAGAGAGGTACAAATTTTGATACTTGACTTTCAGTGTTCATTTCACCAACAGTTTTTAGTTTTTAGGTTTTAAAGGAAAGGAAATTAAATGGGGAAAAGATTGCCCTATGCTAATTCACCAGTTAAACTCACAGGAAGCTGCAAAAGATAAGGTTCCCATAGCAATTGGAATAGGTACTGCATTGCACAGATGAGGCCCGATTTTCCCGCTTACTTTCAGTGCTGGTGGTTTATCTCCACATAGCACAGGGAAAAGCAATTACTTGGAACGAGGAACAAGGGAAAGGAGCCTGTGGCATCTCTGATTCTTTTTAATGGCCATTCTCTGGTGTGGTGTGATGCGCCACTATTGCAGCACAGCCGTGCACTGGCACGTATGCCCTCAACCACAGCAAAGCTCCTGCGGGGATCCTGCCGCTGTCTTTTCCTGTGGTTTTAACTGTGAAATCCTGATAGGCATTCAAGCAGGCTTTGGCAGGGAGTTTTACAACCCCAGCCTCCGCAGGACAGAGCTGTGTGGCATTGCACCAAACACCGCACCTGAGTGCAATCCCTCCCAGCCATCGCCTAACATTCATGACTACGCTGGCAACGACAGACCTTTAATTTGATACAATCTGGTTCCAATGAACCCATCTTACCTATTAATTATCAATTTATCTTGCCTGAGCTTATGATTATTGCACCCAATTATGTCTTCCCCATCCCCTGAGCAGTCATCTGCAGCAAAGTTGAGGGAGCACAATCCTTCTCCCCACCCTTGCCCTAAAGCTACTCTGCAGCACAGAATCAGGCCCATCAACTCCTTCATTAATTCCTCTACAAAATGCCCCAGCAGTGCAGTTAAATTTGTGGGCGTGCAGTCCCCAGGGTCTCATTTCTCCCTGCTGTGTTGCAGCTCTTTTTTTTTTACCAACTGCTCTGGGACTTTTCCTGCACTCCATGAATTTTCTGAAAGACTTGTCAAACATTCATCTATTTCACTCTCGACTGTGTTTTCACTGGTCATGTAGTTTTGACCATGAGCGAGTCCCCTAGATAGCTATTCCTCACCCCTTTTCCATCCTGACACTGCCTTGAGATCCATCATCAGTAACTATGATTGCATTGAGCACTGTGTCACTCTTTTCCCTTTCAGTGACAACTGAAGCCATAACTACTAACACTGAAGCTCCTTTTATCATTGCCTATGATGCGTTTCTGGCTCCCTCTCCCTCATACGTAGGTGACCTAGCAATGCACCTTCCCTTGTCATCCTCCAGCTTCTTATGTACTTCTGAGACAACTTACTTATTCCCTGCATTAACGCCCCGTCCTTTTGTGCCTTTGCATCCCCAACTTTGTTCCTGCACAATGTTACTCTCTGCTCTGTCACCACTGTGGTTTCCCACTCAGCCACTTTTTTTTCTTCCTTTTTCTTCTTTTCTTTTTTTGTTAATACACTGTTTTTCTCTTCCCCACCAGTGTCAGTACTGGAGCATACTTCTAACAAAAGTGTGTTGCTCTCTCCCCAGCTGCTGACAGGGAGAGTTGTCCCCAGGGTGTCAAAAGAAACGCTGTCCCTGGCGGGTGCAACCAGCTGGCTGGAAAGAGAGAGTGTCCCAGATGCTTCTGTCTCACACGTGAAGAAGAGAAGGGAAGAGCCCAGGAGAGAACAAAAAAAAACCACTTTGGGAAGGAGAGAGCAAATCAGTCTGGGGTATGGAGGAGACATCCCTTGTGCCTTAGAAGTGGGTTTCTCTCTCTGTGATGCTGAGCACCTCCTGGACCGGGGGACACCATCCCTCGCGCTTCAGTTCAGACGAACTCGCCACGTGCTTCTTGGGCTGCGGCAGATCCTCCGCTGGGGAAATCAGCTGTGTTAGCCGCTGCGGAGAGGAAGTCTCTGTTAATTAAGCTGACAAACAGACACCCAATAGTGATCCAAAACCATTGCTGGGGGCAAAGGCATCTAGAGAGCTAATGCTCCCAGCTACCCACTCCTCTCCCGCCAAATGGCTGTGAAAGGGAGAAGAAGGAGAGCAGGCTCACTTTAACTGCTCTTAATGACAATTATTCCACCTCTGGGCTGTGGACTGACAACCCAACATACAGGGCTCCTCACAGACATGTTTCCAGGAGGAAGGATGGTAGCAATTAGCCCCACAGACATTTTCTGTGGTCATGGAAAAAACACCATAAAGCTTTTTTTGCCTTTTTTTTTTTTTTTTTTTTGTCTCCCTGTGCCAAGCAGCTGTGCCTCCTGTTGACTTTGGTGGGAGCTGTGGGGCCTTCCAAATGGTCTGACCATCACAAAGTGCTGGGCATCTCCTGCTATAGTGTGAAACAGGGTGGCAGGTGATGCCTATTTCAGGGGCACTTCCCTGTTAAGGCAGTCCCTCTGCAGACTGGTTCCTGCCCCCAAACCATCCCAGCTCGCCTCTCGCAGCCAGACCGACCATGACGGTGCAGGCAGGGGCTGTGGGGCAGCTGCCTGCCCTTAGCTGCCCCTGTCCTCTGCAATGCAGCCAGTGCTGCAGGCTGTTCCACACACACGTATGCTAGCGTGCTCTCAGCTTTGGGGCAATTTTTCCTTAAAAAAAATGCAAAGAACTTGGAGCTCTTTGTGCAAAAGGTGCTGGCCTGCCAAGACAGCTGCTGTGAATTTCTCATCTTTCTCATCTCAATTTTGAAGCCCCTCTGGTACCTTCCTGAGTACCTAGGCTCCTCCAAAAGCCAAGTAACATGTGGTGTCCTGCAGCCACCTGCCTGGCTCCGTGGGCCAGTGTATCACATCCCTGCTGAATACCGACTTTCACAGTTACTAACTTTTTCCATCACAAGCTGTTCAGGCCAGTGCACACTCCTCCCTTGCAGAGTACAAGCAGAGCAGGCAATTCATCCATGACTCGTTGGATTAATTTCAGTACTTCCACTCCTTGTGAAGTGCCTGCCAGAATCCCAGATTTTGCTCATTTATTCAAAACTATTTGCCCCATGATTTCTGAAACTGGCCTTGGCCTGCAGCTACTCTGTGAGCAGTTCATTGCGAGTTTTCAGTCTTTGGAGCTTGAGCTGTCTTAATCAGACACGTTAGGAAACAACATTTTTGTTTCTTGGTCAGTCAAGTGTAACAAGGGGAATCAGTTTGTTGCAGTGACTGATCATAATTACCAATTACAAAGTTGTTTTCAGTGAATGGTTTGCAATATTCAGTTGAAAGGCACTGTTCCTGGAAGCATCTGTGTCAGGAAATTAATTCACTACATTTCTGGGATGTGACTGGAAAAAGGGAACAGGTATATTTTGAGAAAACCTGTTTCCAAAACAGGTGCAACTATTCCAGAAGGTATTGTGTGGTTGGCTTTGATTCTCCCATGAATCAAACCAGGTTTAGCAGCCGATTCCTTCCTGCATGCCTAAACCACATCCATGGAAGTTTCTTCATATTAATGTAACTGAGAACTCCCTGGAAATTACAACTAATATCATTTAAACCAGGGCAAATAGAAAAACCCTCCATCTGAAATTGACCAAATCAATTCCTTGGATGTGCTGTAAAATAAGCATTAACACTACCCACAGCAGTGTTTCAGTTCAAGGGCTCAAAGCACTTTGCAACAGGTAAGAAATATTGCTTGTTGAGCAGGCAGGACATTTGTGCAATTACTTCACTGATAGCTCCAAGTCCTCATTTAGACATATGAAACCTCTGAGCTATGGGGAGTCAGACGTGTTGTCAGCCACCCAGTCAAACTCTTCAAAGCAGCCATGGAAAAGGCGAGATGCATTACCGCTAAATGGCCTGGAGCACAGGAGAGGGCTGTAAGAGGCAGGGCTCAAGGTCTGAACTTGGAGCAAATCATATCACAGCACCTCGGCACAAGATTCACCTGGAGTTCCTCGTACTGGGAGGTGTACAGCTCCCAGCACTCTCCCAACCTTGTCATCTCTTCATGGCCACCAACGGCAACCAGGAGGCCCAAGGGCCAAAGACAGCTAAACAGGAGCTATTTCATCGTGTTATACTTCTCCTCCACCTTCCTGCCTGCATGGCTTATGCCCCTCTCACTGCTTCACTGAAGACTTTCTTAGCTACCACTTCCATCTGGACATTGCACTCAATCTTCTCCTGAGCCTGAGATGGGCATTAGCCAGCTCTGCCACAACTCCTGTCACTCCCTATTAAGTCACATCTCCCAGCCAGTAAATAAGAGCCTCCACGGGCACAGATTCACCTTCCCTGAGGCAATGGAGCCAATGGGGACATCCTGCCACTGGCTGTGTTGGCAACGCAGGGTCCTCTTCCCCATGACCCCACAACGTGAATGTCAGACCTACACCATGGCCACAGAGATGTTCCCATCCCCTGTTCACCTGCTCCCCTCCCCAAACAGCCGCAGATGAGCCCGCAGCCAGTCAGAATGGGGAAAGACCAGAAGAGAAATTGTGCAGAAATTTACATGCACTGTACATCACTCAGTTACTTCTTCTGGGTGAGGTGGGGTGTCATCTCTGTGACACCATCTTCCTAAATGCAGCTCTTCCTAGGACAAGGACAAGGCGCCTACATTGAAAGAGGACAGGCTTGGGCATGGCACAGGGTAGCCCATTGCAGTTCTGTGAGCATGTCCTCTTTAATAACTATGGGTAATTTCTTCAGAGAAAATAACACAGTCCTGACCCAGGATTAAAAGGGGAGCAAGGACAAGGGACAAGAAGTAAAGGCAAAACAGATCCTGGTTTTGTACCTGGTTTGCACTGACAGCAGTCAGTAACAGAAGAGGACGCAAAGGTGGTGGCATGCCATCTTTACTTACATGAGCAGTGGCACCACCTGAACCATAAACCAAACCAATCACTGTGGGCTCGAGTAGCCCATGCTGAGGTGGTCCTCTGCCATCCAGTGGAGCTAGTGTTAGAGATGCTCTGCGTATGTCTACATATTGCACCAAGCATGATGGTGCAATATCTCATGGAAGACTCTGGACGTTGGATGAACACCCTGGGAGCTGTGCTGAAACTCTTCAAGCCCTCCAAATTGCCAACAAGAGCTACAGGACATTCTGGGGAAGGGTCATCCTTACCCTCCCCTGCATTCTCAGAGGAGAAATGTGCCACGTGCATCTTCCCTGGGGCCCTTCCCATGAGCTGTCTGGGGGAAGCAGCAGCAACCCGCCCGGTGACCACAATCTCAGTACCTGCTTCAGGGGTCCTTTGGTTTTCAGGAGAATGAAGATGGCGTAGAGAGGAATGCAGACCATGGAGGAGAGTGCCATCAACCAGCCCACCACGTAGCCCCAGAGTGGGTAGACGTAGGAATTGTTGTATTTCAAGGGTGTGTACTTGATCAGGGAAAACAAGAAGACGGCCTGAGGAGCAGAAGACACAGACATAGCCAGAGCAAAGGGAGCAGCCAAGCCGTGCAGCCTGGTCACCTTGCAAGCACTAACAGGGTGGCAATGAGTGTGTTGTCTTGCATGAGCTAGCATGGACCTTGCTCGCTACAGTGAGGCAGAGTTTGCACAAGGAGTTATCTCAGAGCCCTCCAGAAGTACCACATGGGTACAGATTTACCACTCTTGGGGCTGTCTAGCCACAGAGCTCTCAGATAATTTGGGCTGGATCAGGCTTGCTTTGAAAATTTTCCTGATATTCAACTCCTGCTGGAGCCCGAGGACATAGGACTAGAAAACTTTTGTGTGCTGTAGCTATAGATTCCATCTGTGTTCCCACTGAGGTCAAAGAAAACAACTTTCAACGTCAGATGCAGGAGCAGAATCTGGCTCAGAAATCATGCAAAAGTCAGTGGAGCAAGACTGGACATGAACTCAAAACGTGCAAGAACTTGCCTGACTTAGGGTGCATTTTCTTTAAACACGGTTTTCACAGAATTTGTAACAGAGATTTAATAACATAGAAAGCAAATGGCTATGGAAAGATATTTCTGAACCATGGGAGGTCACAAGAACACAGGCTGAAGCAAGTATTTCAGAACAGGGCAATTCTCACTGGTCTTCTATTCAAAAGTAATTTGAGCCAACCTCTCTAGGCTTTGAGGATACATTTCCCTTTGCCTTCACAGTTAGCAAGTGGCTTTTCAGGCTCAATTAATTTTCCAGGCAAATATAAGGCTTTACAAAGGAAATAAATTGCCACCTTAGCTATGGATAACCTTCTGCTTCTCTGTAGCAGTTTGGAAAAAATTACAGCAACACCTTGAAGACAAATCAGCCTTTTCTACTGAGAACCCAGGGACCCATAATAATATGCCATGTTGTCATAATTGCACTTACCAAGCACAGACCCGGGGTGAACACCAGCCAGCATATCTTGATCAAGGGCCACGGCCGGAAACCAATCATGTCCTCAACGTTGTCGTAGAAGCGGTTGGCACCTTGGCCACCAGCCAGCATAGAGACAAAGTCAGAGAGGTAAGATCATTGTTGTTTCCTTCAACCACTATTCACATCAGATCCCAACTTTCTTCATCCTCAGTGTTTACTCCTGGCAAAAACACAGCTATCCTAATAATATGGCAGCAGGTAATGGGCTTTTCTGGCATTGAAAAAGGCCCATCTCTGGCTAAATACAGATGGAGGTTTTTTACTTCAGCCATAAGTTATCAGAAAGCTTAACACAGAAGAAATGCCCTGTCCCTCAGACAGCAGCAGCTGTGAGAGGATGCAGCCCATGTGCCACTAAGAGCTAGTACGGACCAGCAAGGCAAGGAGGGGTGCCTGGTTTATAGGTCAGCAAGGGAAAGCTCTTGCAGGTTGAACACATGGGATGGTGTGAGCACAGAGTGCTACAAGGAACAGAGTGGGGGGACACCAAACAAAACCCTCTCTTTGTAACCAGATCGACATACCAGGGAAGCCGTGTCAAGAATCCACACTGAGCATTTCTCCTGTCATCAAGAGCCTGCTTTCCACAGAATATTTTATTTCTGGCATAAACCTGGAAGACCTGACAATCCAAAATCTGCTGGAAACCAAGTATTCTATCTGCAAGTGCTGCTGTACTGTCCAATGGGAGCTGTCCTGTGGATGCCTGATCTCCTTCTTCTCCTCTCATTAGTTTCACTTATTAGATCGTGTTGTTCACAGTATGTGGGAACCACCTGAATCTCATGATGCACCTGAGTGGGATATACCTCTGAAAAGTATCATCTAAAAGTCCCGCCACTATCCATTGACTCATCCCAACCCAAAGCACAAAGAGGAAATGCATGCAATGGTATACAGAGGAAACAGCATAATGCAGATGGACTTCAGCAGACCTTGTAGTAAGCTGTAAGATGTCTTCAAGGAACAAGAGTCTAATGTTGGCCAAAAAGAGATGTAAAATGAAGAAGAATCAAAGTTTTTCATAAGAAGCCCTAACTTCTTCCTAACTAGAGCTAACCTGAGGTGCTATGTCAGACTGCCTCAAGTAAAATAGAGTAACAATATTAGACAAGAAAATGGAGCTAGATTGTCCATGGATTACCAGTTAAGCACCTCTGGGATGAAATAATACCATATTTGTCTTACTGAAGTTTAATCACAGTGCTTAGCTGATAAAGAAGGGCTCTGCCTTTAGGGATGTTCATCCTACTGTGAATTCAAGGTCATGCCACAGTTCCCACCTGCAAGCATGATAAGACCTCACTTCTTTGCATCTTAACACTGGAAGACTGGGCAAAATATGTTTATATATCCTAGAGGACTGGCCAGACTTGCGAGTGTTTGGGGTTTGGTGAGTTTTATTTTGGTTTGTGTTTTTTATGTCTTAGAATTTAATTGCCGTATTATGTTTCCTTTAAATATATGAATTCTAGAAAAGGACATTATGTGTACTTTTCTTTTTTGTAATTCTTTGCATTATTTTCTATATCCTATGACTAATGTTGCAGGAAATCTCTTTTAAACCCAGCTGTTTGAAGTATTTAGGCTGGGGAGGGCAGGTTGGTTTAACACCTCATGGTTCCCACCTTGAGTTGGCAAGTTAACAAGTAGCCTCAAGCAAAGATAACAAGCAGTGGCATATCAAGGGACACGTAGCCTTGTATGGGAGCCCAGCCTACACCAGAGAACAGAACCCTAAAACTCCAAGCTGTAAATACCATGAGGCTTCAGATAGCATTTCTGAAAAGATACTGGGGATGAAAGGGAGATGGTGTAAAAACTTATTTTGCCAAAAAAGCCAAAATCTTCAACAGGGTGAAAAAAAGGGAGAGAGATATAAATGATGCGACTTGCAGTTTAGAATATGAGCATAGCACAGTCTCTTATACCATACAGTGTTTCCACAGAAACACAGTGTGATGTTAGACATGTGATGGATAAATTCATTCATAATACAATTTTGTGGAAGCCAAAGTTTTGCTGCAAATTTGGCTCTAGGATCTAGTGGAAGAGACATAGCAATTAAAGAAATGCAAAGATGCCAAACAGAAAGAAAGACAACAGACACCCATCCTCCACCAAGAAAACAACCCAAAACTTTTGTTGTTAGTTATGGTGTGCCTCCACCTGTCCTTATCCCTATTCTCTGCAGTACAACCGTCAGGTCCTGCATTTCCACAGCCATTGCGGCAGTCAGCAGGTGATGTGATGAAACACAATGGAGATTGACATGAATGTCCTTAGAGAGTATATAAACGGGAGGTTTTACACGTTCTACAGTTCACAGGCAGATGAAAAAGTAATCAAGCTTAAGAAGCCATCAGTTCAATCACTCAACATTGGCTTTTTGAGCAAATTAGCAGCTGGAGGGCCTGTGCAGTCCCTCTTCCTTCCAAGCACATTAGAAGGATTAGATAAAGCTCCTGCAGAGAAAACCATATAAGATTTCCCCAAAGATATTTTTATTGGAAAGAACAAAGATGTTTGCTCTTATCCCCAGTCTTCCAAGACAAGGAAGAATGGTAATGCAGGCACAGGGCAGTTATCCACATGTGCTGGTACCACTTCTTTTGTGCTGACCAATCCCATATACCTTCAAACCTTTTGCATGTTTTTCTGACAAATAATTTAATTTTGCTACGTAAATTCATGGGAATAAATTTCACATGAACCCAACCAGAGATTTGCTTACATCCTTATGTCTTGACCTTATGGAGCCCTTCTCATTTTATGTAGCTTATAACAACTGCAAGTGATACCTAAACTGAAAGGGACAAAGACTTTATTTTGTTTTTACAATATCCAGAAACACTGAGTTTCACAGATCTGCTAGTTTGGAATCTATGAAAAAGCCCTCCTGTTTAAATCTTTTCTCCCAAGCTGCATTTATTTGCATTCATCTACATCAAATTTCATCCACAGGATTTCAATAGGTGATGATCCCGGCTGCATGCCATAGTGCTAATCTTGTATCTGCTCCCTCTCTCTCTCAAACCCGCAGCATCGACACCTGCACCAAACCTGTGCAAAATGCCAGCAGCAGAGGCGTTGTGGCACTGCAACAACTGTGCACCCCTTGGGTACCAGGTGCACAGAGCAGGCCCCTTATGGTCCATAAATAAGCATATAAAATTGCCTGTAGCCGGTGCATCCGAGAGGATAAAGCACACGCAGCCTGAGAAAGCCCAACAGGCAGGATCCAGGCAGAAGGAGGCTGCTGCTTCTGGTAGCCTCATTGCATGTGAGCAAGAGAGCGAGAGAAAGACTTATAGCAGCACAACATGGATTCACCCTAGGGCCACCCACAGGTACCCGCTGGCATCAGTTTGCCTTAGCTTTGTAAACAGTCCTAATGGTTTCAGCCCTGGCTCTCCTGCGGTGATGGAGGCACTCGCTTTCTCCTGGAACAGCTAATCCTAATGTGCATGCTGTGACTGCCTGAAAGACATCCTCCCTGCAGCACGTTTCGGTGACATCATGTTGTGAATCCCAGTGCTCAAAACCCATGCCTGCTTATATGAGGGCTGCCTGTCCCAAAGTGGAAGAGAGAGAAGAAAGGAGGGGGGAAAAAAAACCCCAAAAGCCCTCCAGCACTCCTCTCTAGGGAACGTGACCAGCAGGTCTGATGCTGCACGATCCTTTTGCAGAGAGCAGTACGTGAGGAAGTTCTCAGGTTTTTGCGAGAGCAGCTGCCTGGCAGCAGAGGGAAGCTGCCAAGTGGTGGGTGGTTGGCGTATGTGCTGGGAGAGGGGAAACTCAGAACGCATATTTGTGTTAGCGAAAATGCTGTAATTCTTCACAGTGTAAGCAAGAGGCTCAGCCCTGCCAATTCTGAGGCTGGGAAAAAAAACCACATTAATTGGCACCAGGCACTTTTTTTCCACTAAGATGCCCCACCTTGGCCCTCTGACTACATCTCAGACCAGAATCAGTCCATGGATGCAAAGCAGACCATCAAGAGGGTAAAATCCCGCTGTGTGGAGTGGGGCAAATGAACCCATGGTGGTGGGGGAAAGGGCCATTCCTCAGTCCCCAGCTGCTCCATCCCCCCTTCCAGGCTGCTGGGGCAGCATCACCACTCCTGCTGCTCATTGTCTGCCGTTGCTCCTCTCCATGGGTTGTCAGAAAAGGCACATGGCCTGTGTGACCGTAAAAATGCCAGGGGTGTTCTATACATTAAAGCATAATTCAGCTTAATATAACTGAGCATGGTGATGACGAAGCCCTGTCACAGATGGATGGGAATCTCCATTCCCCTGGAAATCCCACAGGGACTGGGTAGAAGGCAACTCCAGATTAAAATCTGGCCAAGATTTGGTATTGCAAGCTCCCAGGTGAGCTTCCCTTGCAAGACATCTCTCTAGAATAAATCTGTCTTATAGATCTGCTTGTCTTGTATTCCCCCAAGGTCAAGCCCAAGCAGCTTGACCATCACATTTCAGTAAAAGAAGAGTCCATCCAGACTAGCAGATTGGCTCCTGCTATACATAAAGCATTGGGAGAAGCTGATAGGCCCTTCATCAGCAAATGCACTACAGAAAATGTAACCTCTATAAAACTGTAAGCACCAAAGACAGCACACAGGGACTGACTGTTCACTGTTGCTTCTAAAATAAGGCACAGGTGGCACCAAATGAAATTAGCAGGTGGCAGATTCAAAACAAGGAAAAGAGAGTGGCTTCTCACATAATACCTGACCAAGCCATGGAGCTCCTTGCTGCAGGATTTTGTGGATGATAAATTCTTACCTGAGTCAACTGGAAAAATTAATGGAAGATAAATAAACAAATTTTACTTCTGGTTCTGGAAATCCCTGAGCAACAAGCTGAGTATTGCATCTGGCTCTGGGACAGCACAAGAAGGACATGGACCTGTTAGAGTGGGTCCAGAGGAGGACCACAGAAATGATCAGAGGGCTGGAGCACCTCTCCTGCGAAGACAGGCTGAGAGAGTTGGGGTTGTTCAGCCTGGAGAAGAGGAGGCTCTGGGAAGACCTTATTGCAACCTTTAGATATATAAAGAGGGCTTGTAAGAAAGACAGAGTATTTTTACCAGGACTTGTAGTGTCAGGGCAAGGGGTAACAGTTTTAAACTGAAAGAGGGTAGATTTAGATTAGATATTAGGAAGAAATTAATCACTATGAGGGTGGTGAGACACTGGGACAAGTTGCCCAGAGAGGCTGTGAATGCACCATCATTGGAAGTGTTCAAGACCAGGTTGGATGGGGCTTTGAGCAACCTGGTCCAGTGGAGGGTCCCTGCCCATGGCCGGGGGAGTGGACTAGAGGGTCTTTAAAGGTCCCTTCTCACCCAAACCATTCTACAGTTCTATAATAAGTTGTTAGAAGCTGGAAGAATATTCACCGAAAGTAATATTGCTAACTTTTCTGCTATTATACTCTTCCCTGAGCATCCACTTCTGACCATTGACAGAGACACAACATGATGCTCGTGCCTGCAATCTTTTCCTTAGGTGAGGATGGCCACACTGCTTGGTGTAGCTAGGAGCCAGCAGGTGCGTGATTGTGGGATGTTGAGGGTCTGGTCTAAGCCGGCATCTACTATAGCTTTGCATGAGCCTTACAGGTACTGAGTTCCTGTAGCTCCATGAAGTTAAGGAGAGAGAGCAGCTGCTCTGCATCACACACAACTGGACCCTTTGCCTGAAAACCACCAGCCTCAACACGAGCTTCAGGGAGATGAGCTGCAGCCTGTGCGCTCAGGCACCATTCAGCAGGGAAGAGATCTCCCGTAGGATATCACAGGATACTCTTCTTACTGCGCAGACTAACAAGCAGTTGGTTTCCTTCTGATGGTTTGTGGAACTCAGTTTAATCCTGCTCCTGAGTAGTTTAGTTACAGACTTCACTGAAAACCAACGCAGTCCCTCCCGTTTCTTTTTAGGAGTGCCATCACAGCCCGTGCAAACAGGAAGTGTGTATGGTCACAGAAGTAACACACAGCAAGTCTGCATCCCAGCATTTTCTGTTAAATTAACTGACAGGACTAAACTAAAGGCACAATGTAAGCAGACAGTAACAGAGACCAAAGAACAGCAGTCACTACTCTACAGCTGATTTTCTAATTCAAAAGGCAGATGGGAAGAGCAGCAAGGTAGTTCAACATGAGGAACCTTCAGACAGGGAAAAAAACATTCCTACTCTAAATGTGGAACAATTAAGACACATGGTGAGGAAACACAGTGGAAACCAGACAAGAAAGAAGGTAATTACAGCATTTCTTTGCCACCTAAGTATCTTTTCTATCCACTCCCACTTCTTAACCACCCATCCTTGCCTTGAGAAAGAGCAACACAGGGTTTTGTCCTCCACTTACCATACACCCATCCTACACATATGACTTCAAAAATGGCCAGGAAGAGCAGGCACGTGCCGCTGGCAGCATAGTAGTCAAAGAGCTGGAAGATGTACATCCCACCCTGTTGGAAAGGTAGAGAAGAAAGAGTCATGGCAGGACTATTCCATGCGAGGGAAAAATGACTGAGGCGAGGAGAAGAATGGCAGCAGAAACACTACACCTAGGGCAGGTGGGAGAAGGAGAAGAGCCTTCTCTTGAGGCTGCCCCCACTCTGTCCCCAAAAGACAGTCAGGCGTGGTGGCAGGAGAACATTTCATGCCCATTTTATGATGCTGCTGGATTAGGCTGGTTTCTGTGTTCATAGGAGCAGGAGCCAGTTTGCTTGTATGGCAAATCAGTTAGCAAGTTTCCAGCATCATTTCAAAATGCCATGTAGCAGTGCAGAACTCTGCACCCAAGAAATTTGGATCCTGAGGATCAGGACATTCAGATACCTCATTTTAGCTGTATCCATCTTTACATATTGCTCAAGGTCCAAGCCCTGCAATGGCAGAGGCATATGGCTTCCCTGCTGCCTCTGCCGTTGAGCTGAGCCCTGCATAGTTGCCATCAGCTACCTCTACAGGTCAGTGAATGACTCCTCTCTCATACTTTCATGTGCTTTCTCAAAGAGAAAGCCCCTCCAATACAAGTCAAGCAGATGCTTTCAAATAGTGCTGAAGGGCTCTAGACACTGCCGGAGTAGCAGAGCAGTTACCCCTTCATCCCACCACGCATGAGGTGACATCCTGCAATGATGGGAGTAGATGCCTCCATGTAAGGGCCATGCAAAAACCATGGGAACCCTTAACGAAGTTTCACTCAAAGGTCTCTCGATCGCAGTGGGAGCTGACTTCAGCAAATCCCTAGCCAGGATCCTGTTGGAGGATCATTCAACGGTGCCTAAGAGGTTTAGCAGGAATTAGCTGTCACTACACAGCACATGGAGGCAACACAGAGGGGTGCTAAGGCCCCCACCCAAGCATGTGGTATGCACGCACAGCGCAGCACAGCACACTGCTGTGCAGGGAGAGGTGCTTGGCTATGAGCTGCAGAGCAGGGCAAACACCATGCGCATAGCATCGCACCAGCACAGCTCTGCTGCTTCTTGTCCCGGGGATCACAGGCTCCCCATGGGATCAGGCAGGGTTATGGTGCAGCCATTATCCCCCACCTTCCCTCCCACTGCTCTGCTTCTTGTGGAAAGCAGCCAGCAAACGATCGCTGCCCTTAGAAGAGCTTCTGCTTGTGCAGCTCGGCTTGTTTTAGCCACCAGGCCTGGTATTTGCACAAAGCTGTATGTCAGGCAGACTCTCTGGGCTGCAGGACCATCTCTCTGTAAGGCTCAGTTATGCAGCAAGTACAGTAGCATCACGTAGGGTAAAAGCAGCACCAGCTGTGAGAGACACCAGCGAATGCATTAGAAATGAAGGATAATTAACAGCATCAAGTATGAACTTGCTGTCTCTCCCCACTCCTCCAGAGCAGTCTAGCAGGGTTTCTGGTGCTCAGCTGTACCCTAGCTACTCTTTTCTTACCTCAGTGATCAGCAATAAGCCCAGCAGGTAGCATATGACTGCAATGGCCAGGATCAGCAACTCCCGACGTCCCTTCCTCCGAAACGCTCCCGGGAACATGTCAATAAGAGCTGTCACCATGCTTTCCACACAGACAAACTGCAGAAGACGACAGGTTAGAAAAAACAGTGTCTCCCTTTCCCCAAACACACATTCCCTTTCACTATCCTTTTTCCCTCCAGCCACCAAAATCCTTATTTTTTCGTTTTCTCTCTTTGTCTGTCTTGCTTCCACCAAGGCTCAGCTGCAACTTCTAGGGACCCAAACACAGCTCATTTAGATCAGTGAGGCCACCTCTGGAGCTGCCAACTGAAGAGGTTTAAAGTAAAGCCCCATGTTGGGGGGATGAACTGTGAGGTGTACAAGGAATTGCCTCAAATCCAACACACCAATGAGCAGAACACACAGGGAATTCTCTGTTGAGATGCAGCTGGGAGAAAATAGCCCCATTCCCCTTCCCAGACTGCCCTGCTCTGTGCCGGGCTTCACCCTGAGGTGTGCAAGGTTTTGGTGCTGGCACAGAGGTGGGAGGGGGTGCAGCTGTGACACCGTCACATACACACGGGGAGAAGGATGACAAACAAACAGAGGTGCCAGCACACATAACCACTGGCCTCCTGTCGGCCCTGGCTCTGAGCTCCCACAGTGTGAAAGTGCTGCAAACGACGTGGAGAATGTATTTGAGGTACCAGCAAACTTGGTACATAACCACCTTATGAGGTACATGACCACCTTATCCTTTCCCATGGCCTTGGGGAGTGCTCAGGGTGGGGACAGGCACTTGGGTGCTAGATAAGCATGGGGCATTTTCTGTACCTGGCTGTCCAGTCCCAAGAAGATCAGCATGAGGAAGAAGAGGCAGGACCAGAGCTGAGACACAGGCATCATTGTTACTGCCGTTGGATATGCTATGAAAGCCAGGCCAGGACCTGCCAAACAGACCACAGACCACAACATGGTGACACATGGTGGCTGCCACCACCACCCTACAGCACAGAGTGAGCCCACATACTGCTTCAAAGCTCATCTCACCACAGCTCCCTGCCCACGCTGGGCTGAAAGTTATGTCGGGGGGCACTGGTCCTGCAGACCTCACTGCAGACACCCATAGCAATAGAGGATGTAGATAACATCCTGGGCTTCACTTCAGAAAAGTCCCCTCCCCTTCAGGCTTTCTGTTTTGCCTTGGCTCTGAAGTCTCCTAGAAAAACCTACCTGATTCAGCCACTTCAGCAATGGGCACACCCTGCTCTTGAGCCATGAAGCCCAGCACCGAGAAAATGGCAAAGCCAGCAACAAAACTGGTGGCACTGTTCAGGAAGCAGAGCATGATGCAGTCCCTGCAGGGAGGAGAACAAAGAGAAATCAGTGTTTCCTGCTACAGAATGGATCCACTTGGGTTCGTGTCTGTACTCAGCTTCCCCAGTTAGACAGCATGGACCAAGGAACAGCAATGCTGCTCTTGAACTGCCTCAGAAGTAAAAAGCTCAGAACAGAGCCAAAAATCAGCCTACCTACCTTGTAACCCACTGTTCAAGAGTTATAGGACTATATGTGGCACAGAGAGAGACATAGGGCACCACCAGCGGCTTGTGAATAAGATGCCACAATGATATATGTAGGGACATGGCAACAGAAAAGTTGACAGGAGTCAAGAGAATAAGAAAAACAATAGAGAAAATGAGGAAAACAGCAAATTAGAAAAGGGAAGAGGTTGCAAAAGTAAACATAGTCAAGAAAGAGAAGCATCTGAATGCATGAACACGTACAGGTTCAGCAAGTCTAGTAAAACAAGGACTAATGGGTTAACAAAAATCCCCACGTGACAAGGGTTCTGTCTACACTGTCTTTATTAACTGCGCTCATATGGAGGCTGGAGTGAGCTATGCCACTTGTCCTGAAATGTTTGTGCACTTGCTTTCTGTGAAAATGGGGCACCAGTCTGAGCTGCTATGGGGCTGTAACCCCCACACCCCGGGATCCTGCCTGGGCAGGTGCCAGAGCTGACCCACAGTGTCAGCTGCTCTGGGGCAGTGTGGCCGCCCAGCACATTTGGGCCACTGAGAGCTAAGCTGCCGGTCCAAGGCACTTAAGGCATTACAGGAAGGCACCAGCACACAGCTGCATTGGTGACAGATACATTTTGGGAGAGCCAGGGGAAAGTGTTAATTGCCTGACCAACAGCCATAGCGGCATTTATTTGAGAACAGAAGAGGAGAGATGATTGATGTCTCTTGAGTACCATTACATTTTCTCATCCAGGCTGGAGCAATACATGAAGGAATAACAAAGCCCCTGCTCTTCGTGGCTCTGTGTAAGGTGTCAGAAATGGTCCTGATGGCTTCACTGAGCTCTGTGTCAGGCCATGGATAAAATAGATCTGTAATCCAAGGGCAAGGAGGAGGCCAGACAGACTTGATTAATCTCTTTGGTAGGATCAAAATGCCACTGGCAGTACATAATCCTGATGGCAGTAAAGCACTGAAGACAGAGGGCCCAACCATCATCTTTGTACCATCTCCCCTGCCTAGCAAGTGACAGCAGAGCTGGCCATGCCACCCCTGCTCACCCACCCTGTCAAAATGGCACGTGGGGTCTCCACAGTGGCTAGAGACACTCTCCATTTTTATTCCTCCCCCTCCTACAATCTCTCCCACTTCCAATCTGACTCTCGTGGGAGAGCACTGCTAAAGCCACTTTCTGGAGCTCCTGTGTTCCCTCAGCCACTCTCCATCCCTACCCTGAGTCCTCTGCTGCTTCCACACTCTCAACAGCTCATTAGTCAAAGCAGCATGACCTAAGGTCTCCCCTGGGGGCAGACCCTGCCTCAGATGCAGCTCTGTGCTGTTTGTCTCCGAGCAAATTTCCAGAAGGATGCGAGGAGTCCAGGCTCCTCTTACCTGTAACAGTTGTTGGTATATTTGTTGTAGCTGCCCAGAGCTGTCAGGCACCCCTGGCAAATGGCATAAGAGAAGAGGATCTGAGTGCCTGCATCCATCCAGACCTGGAACAGAGAAGGTTAGTGGTCTCCAGATCTGACAACAAAATAAACAAATGGCTGTGCCCTGTCTAGCAACAACCCCTCCATTCATGCAGAACAAACTGCATAAGTCAAAGAGGGGCTCAGTGAATGTAGAAACTGGGATACCTCTCTGAGAAAACTAAGCTATAGGACGGAAAGTCCTCTAGGAAGAGGGTCCTGCAGGGACTGTGTTTTCACACCCCACTCAAAGCAACACAGGGCACTGATCGATGCCTGACACGATTCCTCCATCCCTCACCTTTGCTTTCTGAGTGGAGATGGCATCCCTGATAGCGTGGCTCCGGCTGAAGTTGGCACTGCCGGTGTCTGTGGTCCCTACGTGGCTCAGTGTTCACAGAGCCTCTGGTGAGTCGTACCAAGAGAGGGCCAGTGCGTCCTCTGCATGATCAATGTACTCCCCTCCCTGCTCCCAAATCTGGTTTCCCACATCTCTGAGGCCATGGTGCAGGGTGAAAGGGACAAAATCACTGGGCTGAGAGACATCGTGGACCCAGGTTCCCCTTTGCTCTGGCATTGCATGGGAAAAGCTGAGTGGCCTTGTTCACCGCTGCTCCAGCCCTCTCCCCTGCGGAGGAGTCCCTTGTTCACTTGGTGCGTTGTGGGCTGAAGGGCAGCACCACTCTCACACCCTCCCAGGGAAAGCCCTGAGCTGCGAGTTAGCAGGCGGGCAGGAAAACAACCCACCTTTCTGTTTGTCTGTGTGTCCCCTCTCGCTCTCTTTTTCCTCTAAGCAGCCCTCAGCTGTGAACATACAGGCAGCTGCAATTTGGCGGCCTTCAAAAAATCCCATTTTAAGCATTGCTGCTTAAATTCACATGGATCTCCCACAGATAGGTGTGTACACGGGAGCCCTTCAGGCACGGCCACACATCCCGCTTTACACCAAAGCCCCACGTTCTACCTAAACTCAGCAGCAGGATCTCTCGCTCCTGCTATGCTGGGTGGCAGCAGCCTGGAAAGACCATGTCAGCTTTAGTTAGGCTGTGAAAGATAGGGAGGTTTTCAGTGAATAAGCTCTGACCATGAATAAAACACACTCAGCTCCAGTCACCCCCTTGTTATTTATTTTGATATTAAAATGCCATTTACGTTCAGTTGGCTCTTTGCATTCAGCGCACCACAGATTTTGTATTGACAACACATAATTGCATCTGAAAGCCATTTGGGGGAAGACTGTGTTTGGCAGCTGGTTTGGGAGCAGTTGGGGCTTTGGCCATCTGGGAAGATGCGGGAGGTAAGCTGAGACTGTGGGCTAAGCATATTGCTTGGCTGCCTCTGTGAAAAGATCCGGCAGTGGAATAATTACCAGCAGCATCATTTAAATGCTCTTTTGGGGGGGGAGGGTCTGCATTAACACCTCCCTGGGATGGCAGAGGCAGCCTGCACAGCGTTGCTGAGCCCACGTGGGGAAGGGAAACAACCTGCTGCTACAGAAAGGTGCCTGAGCAGACATGCAGGGGGAATCCTCCAAGGGGTGGTCCTGCTGCCTGCCCTGTGCAGCCCCCAAGCGTGCTGCCCACCTCCTGCCCACTTGGGCTATGTTGCAGGTCCTGGGTTTGGCTGCACCCTCTGCCCTAATCTGGACTTGCCCCCCCGGGTACGCAGCATGCTCCCTGCCGGGGGGGGGAGTTTCCATGAGCTCCAATGAGTGGTGGCAGGGGCTGACCAGCCCCAGGACAAGTGACGGGAACCTGCTGCCCAACTGGGACACAGCCCGCGTTACCTGTGTGAATTTGGTCTCTGCAAGCACAGGGGCCCTGTACTCCCTGGGAGGGCCCTGCTGGAGCCAAACAAAGTGCTAACCAGGCCAGAAGAAAATGAAAAGCAGTAGATTATTTCCCCCCTTCTTCCTTAATTATTTGCATTTAGGACCCAGCAAAACCATCTGTTATGTGCTGAATATTTCATATACTCTTCTGGTTTTGCTGAGCCCATGAGTGGAAATGACCTAATATGCCCATATGCTGCAGACGCACGAGCAAAAACGCTGTGCTGTGCAGAGGCACTGGACCCCTCTCAGCTCTTTTAAGGAGGTCTCACTGGTTCGCTGGTCTCCTTTCAGAGAAGACAGCTAGATCCTCAGCCAGCAGCAGCTCCAAGGGCCAGGGCGCTGGAAACCTTCCCATGGCCAGCACTTGCCTGACCCCCACCCACCTGGGGGTCTGCCAGCCTGGAAATGTCCGGTTTCAGGTAGAAGATGATCCCCTCGGCAGCACCTGGCAGCGTGACGCCTCGCACCAGCAGAATGATAAGCATCACGTACGGGAAGGTGGCAGTGAAGTAAACAACCTGTGGGTACAGGGAAACAAGAGGAGAGAGGGTCAGCGGGGAGGGGGTACAGGCACCATCTCATCTCATCTGCAGGCCCCCACCCCAGCAAACATCCCTGGATTCTGCTGTTGGCTATAGCTGCTATTGGTAGTGTAGAAGAAGGGTTGGGAAGAAATTAATCAAGGTTACATCTCACCAGTGATTTAGTTAATCTACATTTTGTTCCTCACCCAAGGCTCTGCCACTGGTTGCTCTGCTTTATTTTCTCTTTCCAGTCAGTGTAATTTCCCTGCTTTGCTCTCCAGCTGTTCTCTTCATCTTTCTAGAGCTGCAGAAGAAACCCAGATCTCTTTCTGTCACCGAGTTTTAATGAGGAGTTATTAAAATGGTCCTATTCCCAGCAAGAGTTTTCCAAATTAAATAGCGACTTTTGCTGCCCAATTTGAGACACCTCTGAGGGGTCTCATTCCCAGAGGGTGCTCATGTGACACTCTCATCCCTTCAATGCTCTGAGCTCACAGGTAAAAAATGGGGGAACCTCAAAGCCTTTAAAGAAAATGTAGACCATTATTTTTGTAAAACCTTGTTTTCACTTCTTCTTGTGTGTGATGTAAATAAATATTACAGTGGAATTAATCACCTCTAATCCATTGCATAATGTAACCTTTTTTTTTTTTTATTTGCAAAATATCCATGAGCAAGTTGCAACTTCCTAATATTTATTCATTATTAAAATTCATCCAAGTAATGTGAAGGCTTGTTTACTCTATGGATTCATAGTGGGGGGCCTAAAATGATGTTTTTTCTGCTTAGTGATAATTGGTTGAATAAGTCACAGTACGTGACACTTTTGCTGTTCCTCAATTGAATGAGAATGCAAGCACTTTTGGCACAACTACTAAAATCTACCTTCAGAAATCACTTCTGGGGAACATTTATACACATCAGCTGAATGCATAAGGAAAGGAAACATGGAAATAGCAAAAGAGTGGGCAAAATGAATTAGAGAAAAAGGCTTTTAAAGAAAATGAGTCTTCATGGAGTTATTTGAAATTATTTTCCTGAGGTCGCTATTGTTTCTTTCAGTTTGGACTCCTTAAATCACAGAAGAATAAGAGCAAGGGTCTGGCAGGGTTATCCGATTAGAGCAGCCTCCCAGTCAAGCGCAACATCCTGTTTATTCTGCAGCTGTTAAACAAAATTATGCACCTACTCAGAATTCCTGGGACCTCCCTACGGCTTAACCTAATATGTAGTCAGTGAGGAAAAAGAAGGAAGGAGCCGGTTTTTTTGACAGTGCCCTGTAAAACTCAAAATGACTACCTGCAGAGAAGATGACTGGTCTGTCTGACCTGTGGTATGTCTTGGGACAGAAAAACCCGCCCTGTATTGCTGCACCGTGTCCATAACATCTGGCTGGTAAAAAGTAAGCCCTGTATCCTAAAACTTGTGATGGAAAAAATCTTCTGCGGGCCCAGGAAAACCATTGCAGCTACTACCAGCACTCACTGTTTCCTCTCACTTTCTGGTCAGACTTTGCCAAACCCAATTGGCCCAACCAGCCCGAATGAACTTCTTTAGCTTTCCCCTTGTGCAGGCAAGCTCTGCACACCACGGCAGCACCAGCCAAAGGAAAGACTTGGTGGAGAGGGCTGAGAGCTGAAGGGAACCTGGGATGACTTAATTACACTTCCATGAGGATCAAACAACCTCTCAGACCCAATCTCCCAAGATCAGAATGAAACCTCTTGGTAAGATGGCACTGTGGTATTCAAATCAGGGAGCATTAGTGATTTAAGATTTTAAATGTGGAGCATCCCCTCTCCCCATAGATGTGGAGTCTGGCAGCAGGTCAGCACCAGTGAGAGCCAGAGTCATCAGCAAAGACTGGGAGAAACCTAGCAAGCAGAGCAAGCTATTGTCTTGCTCTGTTAAAATGGGTGCCCAGTGTGGTTTCAAGGTGGGAGATGGGATTTAACACTGAAATACGGGTGTCCAGTACTACAGGGAATATCTGTCAATACTAGGGATAGTGATTTGGAGGAAGAAGTCTGTTGCAGAAATTAGTTCCCCTCCCTTTGCGATTGGGACATCCCCTGGATGCCCACAAGACCCAACCGTCATTAACAACCCACCCATCTCATGGCAGCTCCAGGAAGGAAAGATGTCCTGAACAAGTCAAGGCCATAGCAGTGCACCTAACACCCATCCCAAGGCATCATACGCTCATTCACTCCAGAGGATAACCAGTCCACCTGATCTACAGAATCGACATCAGGAGGGAGCATTGGCTCCAGCCGCACTAGCAAAATGAAGAAAGTGAATAGCTGAGCCAAAAATCACAGAGCTGGGGAGAGTACAAAGGAGAGCACAAAGACACCTTTCCCACCCCAAGTATTTTGCAGGAGATCCATTATCTATTCACTGAGCTGGTTACAGGCAGCAGCTTGTCTGTTTTGCTCAAGTGTTTAATTATTGCTAGGGACAGGAAATTTGCCACTGCAGAGGATCTCGTTAAAAACATCAGCAAGCCACGCCGGGAAAACACAGTGAGTAGATGATTCCCAAGGGCACTTGGGGAGTTTCCATCAGTGGGTATCTGCAAGGGAAAAGGTGACCCAAGACTCCCCTTAGTTAGAATAGAATAGAATTCTATATAGTTCTCAGGTCTCTCCCTGTTCTCCCCTCCCTGTTTGACCTACTCTTTTATTCTTCCTCTTATGTGTCAGACACAATCAGCGTAAATCTGTATAGCCCCACCAGATTTTAGGTTTGACTTTTGTGCTGTGTGTCTCCCGCCTCTACTTCATGAAGAGGGAAAAGAAACTGGGGAAGAAACATAAGATGGGTACAAGGAGGCTTATGGACCAGGAGGACAATCTCCATTCCTACTTTGCCTGTGGACTTGACCCCTTTCCAGATGCAGAAGTACCAGATGATCCACGCCAGCAGGAGACACAGAGCCAGCTCCCAGCGCACAGTGCCCAGTTTGTGAATACCATCCGTGAGCCCCAGGACTCGCTTCCTGCCGGTGTCCAGGGACAGGGAGAGAAGCATTAACACTCCAGACCCCACTCATCCATACAGACCTTTCCCATATTACCCCATCCAAAGACTTAACAGACTACCCACAAAGCATCTGCCCAGGGCTCCCATCCATGTGAATCACCCCAGCTCTGCCTAGGGCTCCCCTCTCTGTTATTCCTGCT